CCGGCTCGGAGCTTCCAGACAGCCGCTCGGATCTGGGTGCTTCCGGGCAGCTGCAGGTGTCAGGTGTTGAAAGACCGCAGTCCTGCCCGCATCGCAGCTGTCTGCTTGGCTCCGCTGATGCTTAGAACGCGGCCTGCCTTTTAAAACTCCCTAGATGTTGACCTGCCACGGCATGCTGGTGCTACTACTACCTCAGCCTGCTGTCTATCGTAGTCTTCATTTTTTTAAAAAAGATGTTTACCCGGTGTCTGTAGAGCCCCTGAAAATCTTGATCTGCTGGTCTGTGCAAATGAAGTTAAATATTTACTTTTACATTAAATTCTGAGTGACGCTTCCAAATGACAGGAGTAAGAAGACCTGGAGGTTGAATTGCAGAGCCTTTCGTGGCTCTGTGCCAGTAAGCACTTAGGCTATCTGGGTCTCAGGTTTACAAGTGTATAAAACGGAGGGACTTGCGCAAGAGCAGTTTTCTCCCCAATTTTTGTTGTTGTTGTTGTTGTTGTTGTGCGGCAGAATCCTTTCTTAGTGTAGCTATGTTTCCGTGTAAGAGCTTCATTTTGGTAGAATTTACATAACAGCGTTAAATGCAGAGTGTGCAGTCATCACCAGTCTGCTCTTAGAGTGTTTCCATCACCTCAGGAAGACCCCAGTGTTCACTGACAGTCAGTACCCATTTTTAGCCCCATTAACCTACTTTGTCTCCCGAGATTTGCCTTTCTTAGTATTTCATCTCTTCAAATACGAGGTCCCACGATACGTGGCCATTTGATTTTGAGTCTGACTTCTTTCAGTTACAGTGCTTTCAGGGTTCACCCATGCTGTAGCTAGCATGTATCAGTACTTCATTCCTTGTTACGACCAAATGATATTCCATTGTATGGGTAACCTATATTTAAAAAATAATTATTCATAGAGAACTTTTTTCCCTTTGGTTTTTTGAAACAGGATCTTGCTATGTAGTTCAGGCCCGTCTCGAACTCACTGTGTAGCCCAGGGTGGCTTGGAACACTCAATGATCCTCCTGCCTCAACCTGGAGTGCTGGGATAACAAGCATGTACCACCAAGACCAACATGCAGAACTTGCAAATAAAATTTTATGCTACAGTGTGTGATACCCATGACAACAGCTGTTTATTAGGGCCCCCTAAGTCTCCACTGTGTTCCCCAAGCAACAACAAGAATTTGTTGTTTCTGTGTAAAAGTGGAAGTTCTCATGCAGTGCTGTCAGGACCTTTGACTCACCTAGGAATGGAGAGGTGTCTATTTTAGTCAAGAGATATTTATCATTTCTTGCAAATTTATGTTCTTTGACTGTATTTTCTATCAGCCTATGATAGATAGTTCTTGGACTGCCTTTTTGTTTGCATGGCAGCCATCACAAGTGTCACAAATAATGAGAATAACAAAAGTAGGAAGACTGAAAGCAGAGGTAAACTGCACATTTCCGTTAGTGTTTTAAGTGGGGACTGGGACCGGCGCCCTCTCCCTTTCCCCCTCTCCCCGCTTTTAAAAATGACCACTCTGACTTTTGGAAACCTGAAGTACTAAGACCTTCCTTTTCATGTTTGAGTGGGGGACAGAGATTGAAGATAGCATGGTCTCTTTCAGAGTTTTACTTTGAGGCAGGTTGAAATGATTAAAAAAAAAAGTTGATTTCTGTTTCCTTGTGGCCGGATCTGTTTTGATGTGTTGCAGAAATTCATTAAATAGATTTATTAATTTTGACAAGGTTCTGTTTGCTTAAGGAAACTAATTTAAGATGTGGGAGGTAGGATGTTTGGCAGTGTCTCCTGTGACTGTCTAGTTTTAGGTGGCAAATGGATAAGAGAAGACTGCTTGGAGCCCAGAGCAAATATGTGAAAGAAGAGGCAGTAAGACACTGTAGACAGCTCTGTTGACACATTGGGCTACAGAATTAAAAAAAAAAATACAGTACTAACTGATGGATAGAATGTGCCGGAAGAAATAGTTCATTCAGGCTTAAGAATACACCTTTATTTTAAAATAGTGTGTTCTGGTATCGCTTAATAGTTAGCCTGTTACACAATGGTAATACAGCCAACTATGCAATTAGTTATGAAAGTGGTAGTTTTTCGGGCAGCTTTTAATTAAACTGTATAGTACCCTTTCACAATCTAAATACAATTCAGTCTTTGGAGTTATTTCAGTAAACCAGTTTATTAAAAAGCAAGGTATAACTGTATAGTTAGATGATTATCATGTGATACAAATCATTTCCTCTCACCTGAATTATGTTTTTAAATTATTTTTAAAGAAATAGTTTCAGATGTAATTGTTACACCCAGGAGTATCATTTTAGTGATATTCTTTCATTATGCAAATTATGAGTTTCTGAACTGCAAGGAAAGTTAGCTGAGCTAGATCAGTTGCTTGCCCAAGTAATATATTTCCTCTGTTTTGTCTCCTTTTCGCACATCTTATTCCTGGTACATAACATTTAAACTGTATCTTTCATTTAGTTTTTGATGTCAAATTTATCTTTATTACACCTGTATTAGAGGAATATACGAATCCATCGAAAAATCCATAGGTAGAAATACCATCTTTTAGGGTATGCCTTTTCTGGGAAGATAACTCAGGTCTTCTGCATAAAGAATTCATGGAAATTAAATCGAATCACCACTTAGTGGGGCTGGTGGCCGCCTAAGTAAAAGTTCTGAGAGTAAGTGATAGTACAAATGATGAGTGGGGCGTGGTGGCACAGACCTGTAATCCCAGCACTCAGGAGGCTGAGACAGGAGGATCACTGTGAGTTCGAGACCAGCCTGGGCTACATAGTGAGTTCCAGGTCAGTCTCAACTGCAGAGACCCTGTCTCAAAACAAATGATAAGCCTTTCCATAATGAAACAGCTAGGAGTGTAATGTTTTCAAATGGTATCTTTTCTATTGGCTGGTTGGTAGCTGGAGACAGATTTTTTTTTTTTTTTGTGGTACTGCAGCTTGAACCCACGGTCTTTGCACTAAGCTACATTACCAGCACTTTTTATTTTTCTGTGTTGAGACAGTGTCATTAAGTTGCCCAGGCAGGACTTGAACTTGTGATGTTCTTGCTTTAGTCTCCTAGCATAGTTGCTGGGATTATAGGCATGCACTTACGTGCCTGGTTTGGAGACAGATTTTTTTGAGAACAACCTAGGAGATAGATCGGTTTTAATAAGTACACGAAAAAATAAACACAATTAGCTGGGGATGTAGCTCAGTGGTTCCACCGCCTGCCTCACAAGTGCAAGGACCCGAGTTTGATCCCCAGCACCGAAAAAAAAAAAAAAAAAAAAAAAACCACTTGAGTTTTTGTGCCATTGTCTTAACAGAAATTGTAATATTTTTCTTTAAAATTTATTTTAAAGGTTTATCAAAGCATTTAAGCAACATATTATAAAAGTAACATGCCCTTTGTAAAGATATAAATAAAATAGAATTTAAAAGAAAATAATTATTTGTAACTATCCTGTAATAAGGTAGTACTACTGTTACCATTTTGGTATATTTTTTCTTTTTTTCCTGTGCACTACAAAAAAATAAAAAATTGGATCATATGATATATAATTACTTAATATTTCATTGGCATTTACTCATATTCTTATTGCTGATGTAACAGTGGCTTAACACGGATTTCCTGTTTTACAGGTCTAGAGGTCAGAAGTCCAAAATCAGGCTTGCTGGGCAAAGTCAAGGTGCTGTCAAGTCTGGTTCCTTCTAGAGGCTCTGAGGAAAGAATCTGTCTGTCCTTTCCCTTGTTAATGTCTGGAGCCCACTGCTGCATTGGCTCCTGACCTCTTCCTCTTATGTCAACACCTTGTGTCCGTTATCACACCTTCTACCACCCACTCTGCTCAACTCACATAGTCACACCTCCCCCACCTGTTTCCTGGAGGAAACCTCACTGTCCATAGAAAGTAATGTCTGTAGTTTCTGGGGATGAGGACATGGACATTTTGGTGAGACCCATTACTTGGCCCAGCACAGAAACAGTCTGAAGTTGCTGCATTTCCTACTACAGATGAACCATAATTATTCCTCCTGCCCCCTGCTATTGCACACTAAGATGGTCTCTAATTTTTCCCATTTGTAATCTTCAGTACATACCCTTGGACATAAATCATTGTGTGCTTTCGGATTCACATGTGTTGGAATGAATTCCTAGGGGAGACTTTAGAAAAGCAGGCTCCTTCACTCTGAAAGTATGGTCTCTGGAACCAGACCTCTTGAGTTCCTGGTCAGGGGTTGGGGAAGGCAAGTGACTTCTTTGGATCTCAGTTTTCCATCTGCAAATAGGGGTCATAGTCATTTGTTGTAAGGATTAAATGAATTAATGCATGCCAGTTATTTAGAATAACACCCACTAGATAATAATACTCAGTAAATGCTTTTATTATTATGGGTTTATTAGATCAAAAGGCTTTTATGTCCATTTTAAAGTGTTTAATACATATTAGCAAATTGTCATTTAAAAAGATTATAAGGTTTTTAAAATTTTTACCAGCAACATATGCAAGTATTTATTTTGTTGAGTTTGCGGAATTCTTAAATGTGATTCTTTTTTTTTTTTTTTTGGTACCAGGGATCAAACTCAGGACCTTGCGCTTGTGAGGTAGACAGAAGAACCTCTGAGCTAAATCCACGGCCCTTAAATGTGATTCTTATTACATACTGATTGCTTCGATTTTTCCTGTCAAAATGGGAATCATAGAATAACTTAATTTCAATAGGAATTTTCTTTAGTGTGAATCTCCTTAGGAAATATGTCAGGTCCTTAGCAGACCTGCTCTCCTTTGGTTCCATACCCACAGTCTCAACCAGCCACTGATTGGAAATATTTGGGCAAAAAATTTACATCTGTACTAAACATGTACTGACTTTCTCCCTTGTCCTTATTTGCTAAGCAATATCGTTTAACAGCTGTTTGCATAACATTTACACTGTATTATGTATTATAAGTAATCTAGGGGTGATTTAAAATCTACAGAAAGATGTGCATTTTATGTAAGGCCCTTGAGCATTGTGGATTTCAAGGGGTCCTGGAACGAGTCTTAATAGGTTCAGTACCTTTAATTTCACTTGAGGTAATAGCTCTGTCCCATCTTTGGGGATGCTTGGGGGTCACTCTGTATAACAGTCCAGGAGTGTAGTATTTCCTTGTAGAATGTTCCTTGTGTGGGATCCCTTCAGAATTGTTCATGATTTGAATCCAGCTGTGCATCTTTGGCAGGATATCACAGAAGCAAACCTGGGCTCTTCAACAGTGCCTCTGCTCAGGCAGACCTGGACCTGAGCATACTGTGGCTCATTAATTTGGATGATAGAATGAGGTTTCTCCACTGCTGTCACCCATCTCCCTTTGTAAATAGTGTTCATTGGGCACAGGGATGGTCATAAGTGTCTGGCCTTATGGGCCTCTGTCCATACTGTTGTTTATTGGCTTCTAGCCCCCTAGAGGCATTTTTGTTTTCCTCAAAGGAAACATTTTGAGGCCACCTTATTCTAGGCTGGGAAACTTAACAGAAATTACAGGATCTCATGTCATAATCTTGAGCCTTGGGTCCTTCACAACAGTATCTTTTGAGAGCCTGGTTTCAGTTTAACTTTGGAGACATAAGCAGCTCAACTAGATCCAGACAAAGCACGGAGGTGCTTGTCATTTTCTGTCATTTTCAACCTTGTTGTTTATCCCCACGGGACTTTTACACTTGAAGGTGTCTTTCCTCCTTCCTTCCTTCCAGTGCTGGTGGGTACAGAGATGAGAGCAGGCACCTGGAAGGACAGGCTTGGTATAGTGCAGCCTGGGGCTGGCCCGCTTGTACACTAGAGTGGCCCTTTGCTGGAAGGAGCCAGTGACCTTTAATCACTAACCAGTGATCTCTTTTGGTGGCCTGCCCTTCTCTGTGATCATAGTCTGGATTTGCTTTTCTTTTGATCTTCCTTGTCTCTGTCTCCTGTTTCCCCCTGAAGAAAAGGCCCTGGATTGCCTGGGATTCTGCCCCCAGCCTTGCTGCCTCGCTCTGATGTTCATCCTAAACTTCACCCCTGCCGGGGCACCTGAGCCAGCTTCACTGTGGTCTTCATCTTGGGGGCATGTGTCGTTGGTTCAGGAGGCAGGAGACTTGATGTGACCTCGACTCTTTGCAGTAGCCCTCCTGCAGCTGGTCATCGGCAGCCCATCAAGTCTGGCTTTCTGTCTCCATAACCAGCTCCAGGACAGCGTCTCTGTCTCTGGTTGTTAAATTCGTGAGCCTTCCAGTACACCCCTACTTCTGCCCCTGCCTCTTTCAAATAAGCCAGAGTGAATCCTGTCCCCTTCCTGCTCAGAACCAGCTGTGCTTTCCCTCCCCTTTTAAAATAAAGCGGAATTCCTCTCTGCTTGCAAGGCCCTCCCTGGTCCGGCCCCATTATCGTCTCCTGCCTTCTCTTTCTGTACTCTGCTCCAGCCACAGTGGCTCCTTTGCTCTTTCTCACACACGCTGGGCATGCTCTGTACCCTGGGACTTTTGCACTTTTCCCCATGCCTGGGATGTTCTTTCCCCAGAGAACATGGCCAGCTTCTTGCTTCCTTCAGGCTTTTATTCAAAAGTTCCCCTTTTAGAGGCTTCTGTGGCACTCCAAGTACACACTCGCCCATCTCAGCTTATCCTTTCTCCTTTCCAAATATTTTCATCACGCTGTGAATGCTGCGTGTTTTACTTAGCTTGTTTGTTTCTGTCTTGATGCACTGGGTGGTAAACTCCTTGAGGTCAGAGGTTGCTCAGCAGTCTCGTCTCTGGTTCTGTCCTGGCTTGTGCAGTTCACTCCAGGCAATGGAGACGTCTGTGCTCCAGTTTAGTATTTGTTCTGCTCATACCTCCTATCTGCTTGAGCTCCTCACCCACTCAGTCTTTCAGGCCCTCCAGGCAGGCAGCTCTCCACCTCCCTGTGGGCAGCCTGCTGATCCCATGTTCTCAGAGTGCTTTGCTCTTCCACAGTCCTGTGCTTGCAGCTCTGCCCAGCTCAGCATTGCTGCCTCATGGCAGAAGCCACCTCTCCACTGCAAAGGGGTCCTCGGTCTCAGTTCAGCTTGCCTGACACTTTGCTCTTGCCTCTCCTTGTACAGCACTTTCCTGCGTTTTGTGTAGGTGTCATGTTTGTGGTTGGACTCTTGCTGCCACGCACCTGTAGGTCTGTCCCTGATTTAGGATGTTTGCCCTGCTGCACTTGGCAGTATCTCAGTGCAGTAAGCATCTCTGAAATTGCATGATTTGGAGGGGGTACTGGGGATAGAACTCCGGTTCTTGGTCTTGTGAGGCAGGTGGTGGCACCACTGAGCTAAATTGCCGGCCCATTGCATGATTATTTAGTGACTAAGGCAGACTGTCCTGTGATACGACCTTGTTGGCGTTCTATTTTCCAAAAACCTAAAGAGTTTCTATTTTTATGTGGGGAGAACTGAGTACCTTATGGGCTTTTGTCATTTGAAAACCTCCAGATCGTTTATTTCCAGTCAGGCTTCCACCCACTGTGTGAGAGATTATTAAATATTAGTCTTCCTTTTCACGGAGACCACAGTTCAGTAGAAGTTCAGTGTTGTTACCTGTGAGTGAATTATTGGAACAGGCTCGGTTGAGGTTGATTGAATTAAGTCTTAGATCTTCTCACTAGTATTGCTCACTAATATTTGTGTTATATGTAGCCCCAGAAGGCATGTAGTCTTTAGCTTAAGGCAGACGAGTTTTAGGAGATCATTTTGGTCATTTTTCAAAAAACAGGGAGAGGCTCACTTAAATCTTTTAAGTATGTATTAATTTACTATAACATGAGAACCACTATTACCAATGACTAGCTTTATCTTCTTTGGCCAGCAGTCTTTACACTGTGTATGTGCTTCATGAAATTATATTCTTGGATACTCCATTGTGGGACATATCAAGCATAAATGAGAAGTCTGGGTGATGGCTGTGAAATGTGTTGGGGTGGCTGTCAGTGTCCACGACTGCTGTCTGGAACTGAGGGAAGATCCACTCATCCCTGCTGAGTCTGTCCCACCAGCCGTGATCTCCCGCATGCTTCTAGGGATAGGCCTGTTTTCCAGGATCTTTTGTTGGTACAGCAACAAAGTTCCTATTTGTTAAACTTTTAAAAATCCTGTACATGCTTCTTTCCCTCTGTACTTTCTCTGTTTTTCCTCTTTGCAGAAGTACACGTGGATAGTTACAGAAACCAGAAACTCTTTGTGCTCTGAAGTAACAGTTCCTGCCAAAGGAATGATTTGAACAAGGATCACCTCCCCGCAAAGGTGGCTGACTCCTTGTTCTGCGTGTTTTCTTCTTGTCACAATACAAGGCCTGTCTTCCTTCACTATCTCTGTCCGCTGGATTATTTATATCTCTGGTGTGATCAGCGTAATTTTTCTGGTCATGCTACAGCCACCATTTTTTTTTTTTTACTGCTGTTCTTTTTCATTTTGAATAATGACTATTTTTTCTGCATTTCAGATATTTTGAAATCTGTGCTCATCAGTAATTTCATACTCAACATTTTTCTTTAGCAGCAGCTTACCATACTAATTGTCCTCTCTTGTTACTTTCAGTAAAGAGATAACCTGATTTTATAACAGATTTAGAAGTTTAAGTTTGAGACTTCATGCAGAGTAAATGTAATGCATAGGGAGGGGTGGGGGGATGAGATAAAATTAAATTTTAAAAAGTAAATTTAATGACAGTAAAAATAATTTTATCCTCATAGAATGTGGCAGAAAATGTTTCAATATCTGAGTAATTTTAATACAGTGTTTCTATACTTAGCTTTTACCTAAAAAGTTGATGAAATTTGTGGAAAATGAAAGTGCTGGCTTGGGAAGTGCCGCAGAGATGGACAGTTGCAAATGATAGGAAAATGGAGCATCTGAAAAAGAAGTGAGGCAAAGCATCATGTTCCCTCCTCCTTTGGCTGCTAGGATGATCAGGGCCAACCCACTTCATATTCTTGGTGTTATTTAGCCATTTTTTATTTCTTTCAGTTTTCTCTTTTATTTTATCCTTTTTTATTTATTTTTTTCCCCAATACTAGGGATCAAATTCAGGACCTTGCACTTGCAAGGCAGGCACGGTGCCTGCTAATCCCTGGCTAAATCCCTGGCCTGTATCCTTTTTTATTTTTAAGACTGCCTTAAAACATTTTTGTGTGTGAAACCAGTGAGAAATAAGTAAATAAAGTGAAACAGTGAGATGCTTCATGGCTATATTATGCTTTCATCTTCTAACTGGAATGTCTTTTTAACTCTTTCATCTAAATTGTAGATATAACTAAGTCACACGTGGTATGTCAGAGTGCTACAGGTGCCTGTGTGTGCTGTTTTCTGTCTCACAGATTGGCTCACAGAGCGAGTAATCGGCTCCGTTGGACTTGGTTCTGTGGTGCAAATGGAGTCTAGGACTCAGTTGTCTCGGCCCAAATGAGAGAGGCCTCATGTCCAAGATGGAGAAGAAGCGGAGAAAGAAATGAAAGCCTCTCTTCAGGCTAAGCCACAAAAGGCCATGGGACTTCACTTTTGTTTATGTTGGACAAGACTGTAAGATGGCTGACCAGTAATGTTGCAGCTCTTAGCCAAAACAAGAATTCACTCCTAACCAAGGAAGACAAAAGTGCGATTTGAATTTATATGCTTTTTATGACCGTATTCACCTATGACCATGAAGCTTGTCAACATCTGGCTGCTTCTGCTAGTGGTTTTACTCTGTGGGAAGAAACATCTGGGTGACAGACTGGAAAAGAAATCTTTTGAAAAGGCCCCATGCCCTGGCTGTTCCCACCTGACTTTGAAGGTGGAATTCTCCTCAACGGTTGTTGAATATGGTAATGACATCAGCTTACATTTTAGGGCCTCCCACCCTGTTTTCAAACTTCATATATTAGCTTTTGCCTCGGGATTTGTCTGTTTCAAGTTCATTTCAAATAATATGAGTGGGCAACACCTGGATGTTAGCTTTGCTTAAGTTTGTTTTCCCAGGTTGTTAGCTCCTGTGAAACAAGGAAATTAACCTCCAGTTTGATTCCATGGATCACATGCCATTGTAGCTGGTGAGGATAGGTGATTTGGAGGTACCGAATGTTTATTCTAAAGTTCCAAGTGACCAGATGAAAGTATCTAAGAAAATAGTCTGGTATTAGCTACTCTACAGTTCTGGTTTTGTTTTCAATAAAATTAACTGAACATCAGTCCTCTGAATTTCTTTCTCCTATTTGAAAAACTGCATTTCTTTAATGTATGTGCAAACGCCTATAAGGACTTGCTTTTTAGAAGTCTCACAGGCAGATGTGGGTGAGTGCTAGGCAAGCATGTAGCCGCCGCCCTCAACCCCAACACAGGCATCTGGTTTTGAGTGTGCTGTGTGGTCAGGGGATTCATATAAAACAAAATGTTTAAAAATATTAAAATAACATTTAAATATGTTAAAAGTTAAAATAACTTAAAACTTCAGCAAACTGCAGTGCTAGGCATTTAAATTAGTATTTCTGTTTTTTGCTCTTTGTTTTCCTGTGAGTTTTAAGACCCATAATTTTTCTTTCACCAGTGAAATCTTAGGTTAGATGTAATCTGAGTTAACGTATACATGAACTCTTATTTTTATTTGTGGTCATTGATTTCAGAATATATTGTGGCTTTCAATGGATACTTCACAGCCAAAGCTAGAAACTCATTTATTTCAAGTGCTCTGAAGAGCAGTGAAGTAGACAATTGGAGAATTCTACCTCGGAACAATCCATCCAGTGACTACCCTAGTGACTTTGAGGTGATTCAGATAAAAGAGAAACAGAAAGCGGGGCTGCTAACACTTGAAGATCATCCGAACATCAAACGGGTAACGCCCCAGCGGAAAGTCTTTCGCTCCCTGAAATTCGCTGAGTGTGAGTATTGTGCCCTCCGGCCAGGCTGTGCCCTGTGTGTGCAGTTTCACTTTGAGGATTACACACTGTGGAAAAGCTGAAAGTAGTTGAGGGAACTCCTGTGTCATTTCATCTAGTTTATCAATTGTGAACGTTTTCCTGGCAGGCCCTTTTTTAAGAGAAAAAGGTGCTCTTGTGGTAGGGAAGCTCCGAGGTCTACAGCAGCGGGTGGTGGTGATCTGTTTTTGCTGGAGTAAACTCCGTCCAGGTTTGCCTGGAGACTTCAGACCTGCAGGCTCGGAGCCTTTTACCTGCTGAAGGGAAAGACTTTGTCTTTTCTGTGCTTGCATTTTGTTGCTCTCAGTATGGCAGTGTGGAGGTTTGTTCTGGCAGTGCTGGGTATTGAAACCAGGGCCTTTGCACTGAGCTGTATCCCAGCCCTTTTCTAACCCTTTTTATTTTTGGGACAGACAGAGTCTTGCTAAGTTACCCAGGCTGGGTTTAAATCTTCCTGTCTCAGCCTTCCGCAGTGCTGGGATTATAGGCATGTGCCACCATGCGTGGCCAGGTTTTTATTTTTTAAATCACTCTTGTAAAAGATCTTTTACTTGGGTTTCATTTTGTTTCTCTTCAGGCCTTTTGACCATGAACGATCATGCCTCAACTGGGCTTGTGTCCACCACCAGCCTGGAAGGAGTTGGTGCTCCCTTCTCAGCCATGGCTTAGGCTTTCCTGCCCCATCACAGCTGGGCTGCTAAAGAGAGAGTTCATCCTTAATTAATGAGTTGCGTGTTTATTGTGAAATATTCTACAGAGTTTATGTATTACCAAAGGAAAGCCTTTTCCCTGTGTATTATAAACCAGTGAATACATTGCTTTTGTGTTCTTTAATCTCATTTTTTCCCTAGAAGGAAAAGGAGAGAGAATTGGGCTCTTCCTCCTTTGTCTGCCATCAGACTGGACCTGAGAGCCTCAGGTTTGGCATGTTTTTGGAAAAGTTAACCAATTTGCATAGTGTGACAAGCCAGTTCTTGAGCTATAGACTTCTGAATATGACTGTAGAGCCTTTTCTGCTACTCCAGATGTTTTGTATTATTTTTCTCTGTAAAAAGCAGTAGTCCCCTCAAATGATGCAGGAAGAGAAAAACAACTCAGACTTGGTATAATTAGCCAAATGTGTTGTGCCATAACTTCATTTTTATTTTTACTTCATTCGTCTTATAGAAAGTTGTAGGTGACACTGAGGTGCCTAATTGTAGTAGAAGAACCTAGATGTTCTGATAGGGATTCCCTTTTGTACCATCTCCACTGCGTTAGTCACATGCTGTGCCCGCTGCCTCCTGATGTGCCTGTTATTCTTATGCTTAGCTGGGACCTTGAGCAGTAAGCTTCCTTTCATCACCAAGCTTTGCTATTCTTTGTTCCTAGGATGGAGGTGCTACCTACCTCCCTGGGTTCTCATGAAGCTAAAATGAAGTAATGTGTGGGAAGAAAGCTTAGCAGAGCGTTGAGGTTGCTGGAAGTAGCACTAAATGATACTTCTTTTCACAACTCTTATTGGAAGAAGGTTTTGCTATATTTGGGGCTGAAGCTTGTCTCATGCTTGTTTTGTCCCATGGGTCCTAACACATAGCTAACGCATTTTCATGACAACATTGAAAGATACCAAGAAGACACCTGTCTTTATAAAGATGTCCATGGTGTCTTCTGCAGTGGTTTTTCCCAGTTCCTTCTGTGGTTATTCATGACATGGTTCATGTCCCTTGCCATTTTATTTGTTTTACGTGAATACGGTTTTTCTAGATTGTTCTTAAAGAGTGAAGGCCAAAAATAGAATACTTCAAATGTAGTCCTGACTGTTCAAGGCGAAGCAGAACAGGCCCCTCCCTGTTCCAGGCATTCTTAATTGGTGACTCCAGGTTGTCCCTGTTGTTGACTCAAGGTCCAGAGCCAACACAGCAGGTCAGTGCAGAACAATTTCAGTTGGACTGTGCAAACAGTTATTTCATGGGATTGACAGGAGTGTTTCCCAGGTCCCTGTACCTTCATGAGTGTAGCCTGATAAAGGCTGGAAGATAAAAGGGAGCAATTTGGTTTAGAGACGAAGTGCAGTAGCATAGATTGCTCTTAAAACTGACTTGAAATATGGTTTACTCTTCGTTATAAAATGGACTTTGAAAGGTAAAACTCTTGTAGTATTTGTTTTACATAGTCCCCTCTTGCCCCTTTTGTTTTAAATAAAGAGATTTACAGATGATAAAATTTATCCTTTAGTAGTCTGGCAAATTTGGGTAAAGGTATTCAGTCAGGTGTCCACCAAAAAAATTAAAATACAGACTAGTTCCGTCACACTCACCCTGCCTCCTGGTAGTTCTTGTGTTTGCTGGAAGATGAAATTCTACTAGGTAAGAACATTGAGCAATATACAGTTTTTAAAAGGTTCTGTTGATGTTTGGCTGTAGATATGTTTGGTGGGGTAACAGCTTTTTCCTGTCCCAGAAGTACAGTACAGTAAAGCTTCATGATCAGTTAGTGGCCAGTTTTTCAGCTTTTTTTTCTTCCTCCTCGTGGTTCAGTGAGAATAAGCTGCTGATTAAAAAAAAAAAAAAATCAGGGCTTTCTTTTGTTTTAATAACATGATTGCTTTATTTCTTCACAAATTATTTTTTTTAGTCTATCTTTGCTATACCTTGGTTTGAAAATTCTCAGTAAAGAACAATTTAGTATAATAAAGCAATTAAATAATGTCCCATAATTATAATTTAATTGAGAAAATCCTTTTAGTTTATTTATTTATTTATTTTTTTGGTACCAGGGATCGAACTCGGGTCCTTGCGCTTTCGAGGCAGGCCACCAACCGCTGAGTTAAATCCCCAGCCCAGAAAATCCTTTTAAAAATAGAGCGCTGAGTATGGTGGTCCACTCCTGTAATCCCAGCACTTGGGAAGCAGAGGCAGGAGGATTGCCTCAAGTTTTATATGTAATGAGTTCAAGGCTAGCCTGCACTACAGAGCGAGACCTTGTCTCTAAAAACCAAAGGAAATAAAATAGAGAACCCTGCTTTCCTTCCAACAGGACTTCAAGTTAATCATCATATTGCAGGGTGACAGTTTTGCCCACCAGGACAAGGTAGTGTGTTTCTCCTTTTTGCTTCTGATCATTCTCTTCCTTGACTCTAGCTGATGCTCTCGTACCCTGTAATGAAACCCGATGGAGCCAGAAGTGGCAGTCATCACGTCCCTTGCGAAGAGCCAGTCTGTCCCTGGGCTCTGGCTTCTGGCACGCCACGGGACGGCATTCGAGTAGACGGCTGCTGAGAGCCATTCCACGCCAGGTTGCCCAGACACTGCAGGCAGACGTGCTGTGGCAGATGGGATACACAGGTGTGTGTTGTCCACAAGGTTGTGTAGAAAGACTGGTGTGCAGTGAGGTGCTACTTTGGAGTGCCTGGTGCCACCTTGGCATCTGTCCTTTTTGCTGCCCTTTGAATTGGAGGTAGTGAAGTATTCCTGTCTTTAACTCCTGATTCGTGGGCATCTGTTTCTGTGATTTCTAATTGTCACCAAATGAGCCTTATTTTTGAGGTTAGAAGGGGCAGATTATGGAGCATTTCCTTCCCATTGACACAAACACCAAGAAGCACAGCACTGTTTACAGCCTGAGCTGGCAGCTGGCTGGCAGCACTGTTGAGGTCTGTAACCTTACAGGAAAAGGAGATGATGTTCAGAGATGGTTACTTGGATGTGAGCAGTTGCACAGCAGTTTGTTTATCATTTGGGTTTGGTGCCCTGTATGCAGAGTGACTAGGTGATTGACTGTCACACTTGCTAGTTAGCTGCTTCTGAACAAGCAGTAGCGTTAATGAGTATATCTTGTAAAATAAAACTCAAAACCAATGAGGCTTTTCCTTTTTTTTTTTTTTTTTAACCCCGCAGAACATTCCTGTTTTAACTAGTGTGAAAACCTTTAATCTGATTTAAGTGTAAGCCAGTCTCTTGCTCTCAGCTACAAGTGGTTTGGTGTCTTACCCTGCCCCGAGGCTATAGAGACAGACTTTGGTGTGATTTCCTTAGACCCTTGGCCCTCACCAGGTCGAAGGTGCTTAGCATTTTTAATACCTGGCCAATTTCTTTTTTATTAAAATAACTGTTTCCTCTTGCCCTTTTCTTTTTAGAGTGGGAATTTCTTTATAAAACAAATTCTTTAATTAGAAATGTGTGTTTTGTTCTTCTAAAATCAGTTTTATGTGTGTCTTTAAAAGTAGCAGTAATTTTAGTAGTTACCACAGCGTAGTGATTATATAATACAGAATATAGATATGTACAGGACTCTTAAAGCTGAAACCCATTACTTTCATTACATTGGTTAGATGTTAAGTAATGCATGTGTCTTATATACTTTTCTAGATGTTTCCTAAACTGACCAACCAGTCACGTATTACATGAATGCAGATGCCTTTGGCCAGTCTGTGAAATAGATGTACTACAGACAAGTGCATATTGGAGTGGATTTCCTGACACTGATTAATTCTTCACAGTTTCCTTCTGCACAGTTTGTTGTAATTAATGAGCAGCATTGAGTAAATGCCTGTCCTTGTCAGGAGCAGAGATAATTCCCCTCCTGTTTGCCATGTCCTGCTCCTTAGCTTTGTGCTCTATGAGTGTCTGCAGGGCCTCTGAGGAGGTGTGTAGGAGGGTGGGTATCTGGAGTAAGTTATCAGAAGGGGGAGCCACTCAACCGTGGAGTCTGAGGAGTCCACTTGGAATGTGGTTGAGGGATGTGGAATGTGGAATGAGGAGCAGTGGTTCCATTCCTGTGTTGTGACAGTTGAGGGGCTCCAGAGAGATGTTGCTTGTCCTTGAATCTTCTTTTGCAGTGGAAGGCAGCATTTCCCCTCTCAAGCCTTTTTTTTTTCAAGTCCTTTTTTTACACTTGATCTTAGCCAAAAGGCTGAGAAGCGATTCAAGTCCGTTTTTAGTTTTGGCTCAGCCTACAAGAGCCTCTGAACCTCTTGGCCTCAGGCTCTGGCAGTTTCTGTGGATCCCAGGATTCTAGAGTATGTGTTTTAGAGACAGGAATGCAGAAAGATGAATTCTTTAAGCATAATTTTCCTTTTTTTTAACAAGGTGCTAATGTCAGAGTTGCTGTTTTTGATACTGGGCTGAGTGAGAAGCATCCCCACTTCAAGAATGTGAAGGAGAGAACCAACTGGACCAATGAACGGACCCTGGATGATGGTGGGTGTCAGTCAAGAGTGTTTTCCTGTTGTTACTGTGCTTTTGTTGTGGCAGCTTTCCTGGAGCTCTCAGAGGATGTGAGGAATCAGGGTTGGAGAGGGAAGAAAGTGCCTGAGAGGAGAGTGTGGTGACTGGCCATAGGTGGCGCTGGTGCCAGCAGGTTCTAGGTGGAGGCTCCCCACTCAGGTCGCACAGGGCAAGTCCATGTGGAATCCATGGTTTGGAATGTTGTGTTTTGTGGCCTGTGTTGTCATCCCTGTCTCACGGGCCTCTTCTTTCTTGTGGGCACAGGGTTGGGCCATGGCACGTTCGTGGCAGGTGTGATTGCCAGTATGAGGGAATGTCAAGGGTTTGCTCCAGATGCAGAACTTCATATTTTCAGGGTCTTCACCAACAATCAGGTATGTGTTTTGAAGCCCCTGAAACTTTTAAGAATTGGTATTGAAATGCAAAAAGTAAAACAGAAGAACATACACACCCATTTGAAAGCAGCCCACATCTGTGACTCTGAGCCACCTGTGGCCCAACATATGCCATACCTCTCACCGTTGTCATGTTGCCTTTGGGTGGCAGGGCCCTTCTCCTGCCACCCTCTTCCAGCCAAATGTGAACCCCAACTTGAGGCCGCTGTGTTCAGGGATGATTTCTTGTTTCATCCTCTTTTGAGGCTTGCCTGAGGCCTCTGCCTGATAGAATGATTCTGGGTGTGGGTTACCTCCCTGGCCAGGTTCCTTCCACCGCAGGGTTGAGCTGTGTTATTGGCCTCTGTATTCCAGCATGATGTTGGGATCAGACTCAAAAGCTGTGCTTCTTCCCTTTTCATTTGGAATCTGTGTAGAAGAGGACAAGAGTACTACTGTTTGTCTGTTTTTAAAATGTAATTCTTGAGTAGGTAATACATAACTCAAAAATATTAAAAGGCAGCACAGTGAAGACCACTTGTGTCATTCAGTAGGTTCTTAGCTGGTTTTTCACATCATTCATATGATAGTGTTCTGTTGTGCCTTGTGTCTAGATGTCCTCTCAAAGCCTCATGCAGAGGTGGGGCTTTTTCAGAGGTGTCTGAATCTAAAGTGTGTGATTGATTCATAGTGCAATGCTAGGATTAAGGATTGAGTGATTACTAAATCAGTCTACTGATTGGTTTGGCACCACCCTAATCTCGGCAGCCTGGATACAATATAAGAGACAGCAGGAGGCTTTCTTGCTCGATGCTTGCTTGCTTTGCTACCTTCTGCCCACCATGAACTGCTTCTTCTCTGGGATACCTGCCTGCTTTGCCACCCTGCCTTGGAGCCAGCCGATTATGAACTGAAATCTCTACAAACTGAGCTAAATAAACCTTTCCTCTAAACCTTTAACTTGTGGGTGTTGGGTATTTTGACTCAGCAATAAAAAAAGTAACCGAGACAGAATTTGGTACCAGAAGTGGGGTCTTTGCTATAATTGTACCTGATCATTTGGTTTAGGAGCCTTTGGAGCTGGTTTGTGGGAAAGGGAAGAATTAGGAAAGGTTTGGAGATGCTGGCTGAAAAGGTAGAGCTGGAATGCCTTAGGCTGTACTTGATGGGAGATTCTGCAGAGCTCCAAAGACCAGAGTGTTGACAGAAGTGATGCTGGTAAAGAGCAGGCTCGGGAGTTTCTGATGGGAATGACTGCACTGGCCATTATATTCTAGATGATGTGTGTTAGACCTTGGCAGAAAGATTGTCTGCTTTTTGCTTGTGTCCAGAGACTTTGCCTGAGACTGAGATTAAGGGCACTGGACTAATAGAAGAAATTTTAAGACAGTGTAATGTTGGGGCAGTGGTGTGGCTTCTGTTGAGAGCTTTTAGCCAGATTTATATAGAAAATCAAGAGCAAGGAGCCCAGTATAATGATTCAAAAATTTTGAGTTTGGCTAGAAAGGAAGCTCCAGTGAAGTTGAGGCCTGCAAAGATGGAAGAGAGGAGGAATTTGTTCCTGAAAAGACTAGAAAGAAAAACCCAAGTTTTTCAGAAGAAGACAATGGAAAAGATGGTCCGAAGGCATCACAGAACCAGCAAAACTCCAGCCTTTGTAGCCTTAGAGTTGCAAGGGTGAAAGACTTTGCTTGGAGGAGAGAGCCCCACAGCACCATGTTGAAGAGTGAAGGTGACCTAGGGAAGTTGTTCCTTGGGATTTGGTTCACAGGCACTCAACTCCTACAGCCAAGAGAGAAGAGAGCCTGGGTACTGCTTCAGCTGGCAGTAGACCTTGGCATCATCCATGTGGTGCTGGTTTTAGGTGCATACAGAATGCACCATCTCTGGGGTCAGGAAGGCTTCTGCCCAGGCTTTAGAAGAAGGGCTGGGAGGCCAGGCAGTGTGCCCCTGGGAGGGCAGTGTGTGAAGCCGTGAGTGTGAAGCCAAAGGTACAGTGGAGACCCTAGAAGTTTGGAGAAACCAGGAATGTGGATCATCTGAGGAAAACTGCAAGGAGGGAGCAGAGCTGGCCCAAGAGAGGATCTTTGACAAGAGCTATAACCACCAGAAGTGCTGTAGGGGCAGAGCCACCCAAGCCCTTTGGAGTTCGCATCTTGCCACAGGTTGCCTTGGATCCTGGACATGGAACTACAGGACTTAATGTTTGCCCTGCTGGATTTTAGACTTGCTTTGGTCCCTTTCCTTTATATCCCCTATTTGTACCTTTTAGAATGGTAATGTCTATCTTGTGCCATTGAATGTTCAAAATGTCTAACTTTGTTTTCATTTGTACAGGGGCTTTGTTATGGTTTGGACCTAGATGTCCCCCCAAAGCCTCATGTGGTCACAGGCTTGATCTAGAGCGTGTGAAGCTGGGACTGATTCGTGATGCAGTGCTAGGTTCAAGGGCACTAGGATTAAGGGTGTGAGTGCTGCCCGCCCTGAGGAGCCTGAGTCAAATAAAAGCGGCAGGGAGACCCTGTTAAATCTCCTGTTACCTTTGCTGCCTTGAGTGTGCCATGTTGTTCCTGCTCTGCCATGCCTGTTTGTCATCCCTGCCTTGGAGTTGGCTGATTATGGACTGAAACCTTTATGAAATGTAAGCCAAATAAGCCCCTTCCCCTCTAACTTTGGGTGTTGGGTATTTGGTCCCAGCAATGAGAGAAAGGTAACTAACTCAGGGTTTGCCTTAACTCTCAGAGGAGATTTTGAACTTGGACTTTTCAGCAATGCTGAAATTGTTAGGACTTTGGCAACTCTTAGAGATGGATTAAACACCCTTTGCATAAAGGGATGTGAATGAGTCTTTGGACTGTTAAGGCTTATGTCTAGATGCCCCCTGCCAAAGCTTCATGCAGTCATAGGTTGGGCTTTTCAGAGGTGTCTGAATCTAAAGTGTATGATTGATTCATGGTGCCATGCTGGGGATTAAGGGTGAGTGATAACTAAATCAGTCCACTGATTGATCTGGCACCACCCTAATCCTGGTAGCCTGGATACAGTATAAGGGAAAGAAAGAGGCTTGTCTTGCCTCTTGCTTGCTTGCTTTTGCTACCTTCTGCCTGTCATGAACTATTTCTCCTCTGAAATTATGGACTGAAACCTCTACAAATTGTGAGCTAAGTAAACTTTTCCTTCCTTAACTTGTGGGTGTTGGATAATTTGTCTCAGAATAAAAAATGTGACTAGGCATGTTCTTAATCTTTTTCTCTTAGAATTTCTTTTACATATACAGTGGTCCCTTGGTTCACAGCTTAATTCTTTCCATGATCCTGGTCGTAAACTGAGTTGGAGAAGAACTGATTCGATTTGGGATCAAAATCATGGAAAGAATTAAGTTCATGGACTAAGGTACCACTGTATAGACAAATATAAGTCTGTGTCCTTACTTTTCAGAGCCTTTTAAAAATAATTCTTAATCGTACTGCTTCTCTTTCTGCTGTGAATTAATTTTGTATTTTTAAAAATCCAACTAAACAATGATCCCAAAGTAATTTAGCTTATGTAAGGAAACTAGGAGGAACTGGACATCAGAAACCTAATACTGTAAAGTAAATATTACTGCTGCCCTTTGTTCTTCAATCTGTGTAGGCTTCACAAATATTGTACAAACACATTAACTGGTTAGAAATGTTGACTTAGCGAAGTGTCGTAGGGTACATCCTTTTATATAAGGGGCCATGGGAGGTGACATTGTCCCAAAAGGCATGCTGAGTAAGACCTGCCCATTACACATGAGGGAGGACACCTGAAGCACATAATCCCCCTTCCTTGAGTCCAGCCTTAGGGACTTCAGGTTTCTGGGTATAGTATTGGATATTCCAGAGCATTATTCATACTTGGGATTTATTTCTGTTGTTAGTTTCAAAAAGATATTAAAAGAAATATTTCATGCTTTGGAAAGTCTGTGTTCTACTCTTAGAAATAAAGTGTTGGGTGGTGGATGTAGCTTAGTGAGGCCCTGGGTTTAATCCCCAGCACTGAATGCAAAACAATAAAAACCAAGAACTGTTGTGACATCTTGAGACTTTTGCTCGACCACTAAGAGGGCTGTTTTAATTTAACTAGGTATCTTACACATCTTGGTTTTTGGATGCCTTCAACTATGCCATCTTAAAAAAGATTGATGTGCTAAACCTCAGCATCGGAGGTCCCGACTTCATGGATCATCCTTTTGTTGACAAGGTTGGTCTTCACCACACGAGGATGTTGTATTTGGATGCAGCTCCTGCTCTTTTACACGTCAGCTTTGTGTCAGTTCTAGTTTACTGGTGGCACCCGGGTGGTGACAGTTTCATGAGAACAGATGGTTAATGACTTGAACTTTAGTGACTTGCATGTCATAAACCCAGTGGGTTAGGGACCTCGGAAGTAGGTTTTTTGTAAGAGGCACCTGGCACGTTGTTGATTGCTTCTTACCTAAACCTGCAACTTCATTTTCCTGAGAATGGTTGGAAGCTGGGGTCTCCCCTGGGCATCGCACAGCCCTGCCTTCTGGGTGTTGTCCTCCTGTAACCATCCTGCTCACCAGAGGCTCCTCTGTAGTGGCCAGTGCTATGTTTGAGGGGGCTTCACTACTTTTTCAGAACTATTTGTAGAAGTTGTGGGACTTGGGGGATATTTACATGTTGATTAAAGTCATATATTTGCATTCATTAAATGCTTGTTAATTTTGTAGGTGTGGGAATTAACAGCTAACAACGTAATCATGGTCTCTGCTATTGGCAATGACGGGCCTCTTTATGGGTAAGCAGCCCCAAACAGAGATGACCCCTGAAACAGTGGAAACTGTTAGCAATCTGTTTGTATATCTGTCCACGTGTACTTGTTTATATCTTTCTAAAACTTTGTATTATGAAAGTTTCCAATGCTTAAAAAATAGAATGTATAGTAAACTCCTGAATACTCAGTATTGGCTTCAGCAGTCATCAGCTCAAGTTCAACCTGCTAATTTTTTTCTAAACATTGCTATAAATATAATTAAGAATCTTAAATTTTTTTTCTGATGGCTTTTTTTTTTCCTCCCCTTAAAAATCAATTGGAGGGCCAGGGATTTAGTTCAGTGGTGCTGCCGCCTGCCTGACAAGTGCAAGGACCAGAGTTCGGTCCCCATTACCTGCCCCTCAAAAATCAGGAGGGCTGGGGATTTAGCTCAGTGGCACAGCAGTGCCTGCCTGACAAGTGTGAGGTCTGAGTTTGATCCCTAGTACCAAAAAAACAAACAAACAAAAATCAATCAGGAAAATGAATCTGTTAGAAAGGGATTTTTGAGTATCTGTTGAGACTCACTGCATACAGAATGCCAAAGGAGGAAAGGGTGACAGAAGGAGGTGTCTGTCTTTCCAGGAAAGATCAAGTGCAAACACAGTGAATCCGAGGCAAGGGAGCAGAGGGTGCTGGGGCTTGGCGGGAACATAGATGGTGCCTTCAGTTAGAAGAGCAGTCCTAAGTCACCGGTCTTTGTGCCAATTGCCATGGGTTGAAGCAGCAAGAGAGGCGAAACGTCCCCACTGAAATAGCCAGCAAGCTTTGGTCTGGTTTGAAATCTCAGGTATCTGGCTACTTGCCACTTGGATTTTGATGCTTCAGAGAAGGCATGTATGTATTTCCTTTGCCATAATGCTTTCCAAGGAGGATGTTGGTCACTGTCCTGTACTGTGTAGAGAGGGTGGATATAGGTCAGTACTGTAACAAAGTGTCTAAGGTAACTCAGAGGATAGACAGTGACAGAGTGTGTGTGCCCTTGTGCCATGGCAGAGTGGAGGAGAGACGAGTGTCTGCGCTGTCCCTCTGTGTGTGCTTCTGGCTGATATATCCTGGGAGTGCTGCTGAGGGAGAGTAGTCCATCTGAAGTGCAGAGCAGTCGGACAGCGTGAGGCCCAGCCATGTGAAGTTGATGTTCAGAGTCAGAAAATACAGATGTCCACAGTCACGTGCTTCCAGTCTAGTTCAGCAAGTGATCCAGTCCTCATGGGAGAGGCCCTGGGATCTGAGTGTGCTGTGGCTCCCCAGTGTGTGCTGTGATTGGTGGAAATAAGTGTCATAGATGGACCTTCACTGCAGCTCTTCGTGAAAAATACCAGGTACTAAGCCTCAAGGCTGCAGCTGCCCCCTTTTCAGTACCAACAGCAGTTTCTTTATTGTCCAGCCTTCTTGGTGCTGCACGTGACAGGGATTGACAGGACAAGGAAGGTGGGAAGTGGTGATCTCCCACTGGCTTCAGTAGCTGGTCTCAGTGACTCCTTTGCTCATCTTGGTTCCTCGCTACGTGGAAATTTGTGTGCTTCTTGTATCAGCTGATGGAAAACCATTCTGGTTCCCTTGCATGGCCACCTGGTAACATGTTGCTGGCCAGCGAGCTCAGCAGGCAGAACAAGTGTGGTATTGAAGTTGCTGGGTACAATCCCATGTTGTAGAATCTTGTCGCTATTATTCCTTAAGCCACTTGGACTCAGTTGTAGTTTACAAATTGTCAAGAGTATGTTTTTTTCAAAGCAGAGCTCTACTACAAAAAGCTTAGACATACAGTGTTGTGCCAGGCATGGTGACGCACACCTGTAATCCCAGCCTCAGGAGGCTAAGGTAGGAGAATTGCTGAGAGTTTGAGGCCAGCCTGAACTACATAGTGAGACCCTGTCTCAAACAAAAATCATACAAATAAAAAAGGAATGCAGACTCGTAACTGATTAGTTCATATGTTTCATCTTGACCTGAAATGTTTTCGTCGTAATTCATTTCAGTCTAGCTTTTTTGCAGATCTAGTGCACTTGCATATGGAGAATGGTGTGTTTTTCCAGTCTGTCTTTTCTCGGAGGCGTTCAGGGTTGCAGCTGTTCTCATGTGCTTCTGAGGAAGTCATACACTCCACAAGAGGTCCATTGAAAGCTTTAGCTTCCGGCGGTGGCTTTGCAGTAGTGTGCCTGTGATGTCTTACCAGATTACTTCTAATATAGTTGAGGAGGCAAGAAGAACGCCCTTGGAAGGATTGCGCACTGACATGAGGATGTGTAACTAGATGGTGCACTGTGCAGCGTGAACTCCTGGAAGTTCAGGGCCAGGGAAGGCAGGGAGCTGGGAGGGGTGAGGGAGAGTGCGTCCGGAGGTGGGCCTGGCCTCCAGTGGTACAGTGAAGGGGCAGGGAGAGAGCAGGGGTGCTCTGTTCCTTGTGCGAAGACGGAAGTGGACGACATTATGGAGGTGGCAGGAAACATGGCGCTTGATAGGCAGCTGTGAGGAGCAGCAGTCTGTTAAAGCCGAACAAGTCTTGTCAGGGAAGGACCTTTAGTAAATCCTTATAGTTTTTTGAGAGTATTTATTTGCCCTTATTTGAATTATTCACTTTAAATTATTTCTCCCCTCCCCTTTTTTGTATGTGTTTCAATTTAGCACTCTGAATAACCCTGCTGATCAGATGGATGTGATTGGAGTGGGTGGCATTGACTTTGAAGATAACATCGCGCGCTTTTCCTCCAGGGGAATGACCACCTGGGTATGGCTTTCTGCTTAATGTGGGTCCGGAGCCATTCGTCTAACACTTCGAAGTATTTGTCAGTGTGCAGATAGAGAAGCTGCTTGTGATACAGACCCTCAGGTCCACAAATTGGGAACTAGGGCTGTGGGTTTTGCCTGTCGTGAGGACCAGACCGGTGAGGCTGGCGAGTCCAGAGCCACTCTGCAAGGCATGGGTCAGTTCTGAGCAGTGTCTTCCAGTTCCCCTTCTTTTTAATTTATTTACAAGTAATCAAGTTTTAGGTGAACTGGACTCAGGCTCACTTGTCCCTAACTAGTTGTAGGAAGATGAACCAGTTCCCTCAGTGCAAGGTGAGATTTTTTTCCCCCTTAGGAAGTAGAGGCCTACCTTTCCTCAGAATGGCTTAATAGCAATTCTGCTAATACAGAAATAATTGTATTTAGTTATACATCATCAAGGTAACTCCCAAGTTAATAATTCAACTGCTTGGGCTTTGATTATGTAGCCAGTTCATTTCCTTAACCTGTCAAAATGAAGTTTAATTCAAAATTAGCTGCCTCCTTGGAGCAGCATTCCAGGTCTTTTCCCCTTGGCTGGCGGAAGCTGGGTACAATTGCGTGCTCTAGAATCTTGTTGCTGTTATCTCTTCAGCCAGTTGGACCAGTCATAGTTTACACATTGTCACAGTACAGTAGGCTTCTTTCAGTAGCAGAGCTGGAGTTCTTTGGGGCCAGACCCTCTCTTGTTGCTGTGACTTGTCATGTGCTGAGCTCAGGACTCAGGTAAGGCCCCAGAATGACTCACGGCCTCCTGGGATCATCTGGGCTGGCTCCATACCTGCATACTCCGTGCTACAGTCTTCAGTGTGAGCCATAGTTCAAGATAGTGCTGGCTCCCAGGCACAAACACACAACATACCCTGGCAGGTTCCATGCCTCCTCGTGGAGCTGACCCCCTGCTTGATGACACAACCTAGGCGACCTCACTCTGACAGGCAGGCTCCCATGCTGTGTGTTCTCTCTCCACAACTAGAGACACCAAAGGGGACTTCCAGAACTTCAGAGAGTGGCAGGAACGATGGGGGGTGGGTGTTCAGTGTGAGGGAGACTCATGACAAGTGTCTTGTACTGTAGTGCATGCAAAACAGTTTTTCTTTAGTATTCACCTTAGTCTTAGCATTCACCATGTCTTAAGCAGTTCCCTGTTTCTTTATTGATTGATTGCCAGGGAATGTTTTTCTGTTCAGCCAGTATACACTTTTTCTCAGCACAACATAATATCCTATTGTACTTCTCATTTTGCCCCAGTTTTCAAGGAGCTTAAGAGAATACTTAATTAAATCTTACTGCAGGTTAGTCATGGACCTTCTTGATCACTCAAAACAGTTTCTTAGCACTTTGGAACATCTAGTCATAACCATGTATTTTTTTTCATTATAAAGAAATATTTTTCCTTATAAAGAAATATTTTTCCTTAATTTCTAATTTTAATTTTCTAATTCTTCCAGTATATAAATTTTTAATTTCTATGGGGATAAAGCAGTTTCCAGTTTCTAGTCTTAGTGTTAAATCTGTGACTAGTTTCTGGTCTTAAATATTAGCAAAAGTGAAATATTTTATTTCTGATTGCTTTATAACCTTGCTGTTGTATAAAACATTCTAAAAGGAGCCGGGGATTTAGCTCATTGGTTCCACCACCTGCCTCACAGAGGCAAGGTCCTGAGTTCGATCCCTGGTACCAAAAAAGGAAAAAAAAAAAAAGAATAAAACATTCTAAAATAAATGTATTTTCTACATTATCACCTAAACTTATTTTTGATGTGCGCTGAGGTTCGGATCCAAACCCATACCTTCCCAAGTGACACTGTGTTGAAGTCCCCGTGTTTCTGTTCTGCTTTTATTCCCTCATGACCCCACGTGGTCATGCACCAGCACACATGATGGGGAACCTGAGTTACTCCTGTTTGTAGGAGCTACCAGGAGGCTACGGTCGTGTGAAACCAGACGTTGTTACCTATGGTGCCGGAGTGCGAGGTTCCGGTGTGAAAGGGGGCTGCCGAGCCCTCTCGGGGACCAGTGTCGCCTCTCCAGTGGTCGCAGGGGCCGTCACCTTGTTGGTGAGGTGAGTGCTGCACAGCTGAGATGGGCTGCTCCAGCCTCGGGACAGGGCATGTGGTGCATCTGGTGGGTGTGGATCAAGGCCTGTACCATCTCTGCTGCTTCATCTTTCCAAGAAGGGTAGGGTCCCTCCTGTGGCACTTCAGTGATATGTGGCCAGCGTATTTTGTAAGCTAGAGCAAGCCGTAAGGCACATGCAGGGCAAATCGCTATTACTCCTGTTGTGGCTGCACTTTTAAATACATTATGTGCCAGGCATGCTGGTGCACACCTGCAATCCCAACACTCGGGAGATTGAGGCAGGAGGATGGCTGTGAGTTTGAGGCCAGCCTGGACTACACAGTAAGACCTTGTCTCAAAAACAAACAAAAGAAAAATAAATACATTTATGGGCTGGAACTGTGTGTAGATCAGGCAGGGAGCATAGAGTAAGCTGTTACCCCACCACGTCCTTGGGGATGTTCCTTTTGTTAAATTTTATTGTGTATGTTTTATTGTGTACCACATGATGTTACGGGGTCCATATAGGTAATAAAAGATTTCACTAGTGAAGCAATTTAACATTCCTCCCTCCTTGCGTATTTACCTACTCTTGTTTTTGTGGCAGGGACTCTTCCTCCATAAGCTTAGCTAAGGGAGGCAGTCAGGGCCTCCTTGTGGGAGACAAGTTTCTCTGTTTCATTTGTAGTCATGAAATCTCATGTAAGTTGGAATGAAGTTTAGTCATCAGCCCTTACTTTTGCAGACTAGAGAACTAGAAGAAAGTCCTCAAACAGATCAGCTTTGAAGCTCATGTGCTGACTTTTAAGTCAGGTGGGCCTTGTTTCCTTATACTCAGAGTTACAAAAAAACCTTTGGAGCGAGTATTCATTTTGTAACAGTATGTCCTCCAACATTAATCTTCTGTCTAGCTGAGGTACTGTGTGGTGATAACACTCTGTGTATTTGAAATTTATAATTTGTGCTTATTAGGGATTTAAATTAAAACACACAAATGATATTCAATGTTTTCATACTTTGAAGTCTCTGTATAAAGTGAATTACATGTTGATCTTTAGCTTCTAATGCCAGAGATTATTAGTAATCTTTGATAGAGGTAGCTGTCTGCCTGCCTCTGGCTCCATCCTGCCCTTACAAGCCAGAGCCAGAATTCTTAAAAAGGTTGACAGTGGCCAGAGTACCACTGGAGACTCACCTGTGCCTGCTAGAAACGCTCTCCCTCACGTGATGTAACATGAAGCGAGGAGAGAAGGAATTGTTACTCTTGGATTTGACTGATGCTGAGGATTCAGCGAGGGCTCCTTTTCCCAGGTGTGTTGAATCTGGAAGTGGAAAACACTGGTCCATTTCTCCCACTCGCCATGATGTAGCAGGGAGTGAGGGTTCTGGCTTCATTGCTAAGCCTGTCAGCCATCTCTGCTGTGAAAGTAATGGAGGGTGAGGAGCCTGTGTTTTCCATCCTCAGCGCATCTCTTGCTGTGCATATTTTGAGCATCAGGGAGACCTTTCACTCTCCCCATATCCTGCAGCAGATAAAATGCCGTTGTGATGTTCAGAAAGGCTTTGTGGCTTGTCGGAGCTTGTGAATAGCTGCCAAGCAACAGGGGAGAGGAGCCTAACCTTTAGTTTTGCTTTATAGACAGGAAGAGGAAGGAGGATTGTTGACCTATAGCTTTTAGCAATTCTTTTATTCTATTATTAACAATTCTATTGTCTTTCGTCTTACTCTCAGATTTCCCGTTTAGAAAGCTTGCCTAGATTTGGAGACCAACCACTATCATATAAAAATATTTAGGGACTTGGGAAAATAAGTTTTCCCTGTTTGCCTTCTGAATTTATTTTTTCCCCCTCGGTTCAGGAAACAGAATTTACTTGCATATAATACACAAAAATAAATGTTTTAGTGCTAGAGTTAGCCAGGTTCCTAGCCAGGTAGAGCTGTTGTTAGTTTGCTCAGTGCATCTTGGGAGAGTGCTGCCGGTGGCCTGAAGTCTGCATATTGTGCGCGTGTGCCCAGGGTGGTTCATCCCACGTGGGCCTTCAGGTCTGGAAATGGTGGTCCCTTCACCCACATGGCAGCCCCTCTCCCATGTCAGTCCTTCTCCCTGGGGAGATTGTCTTTTCCCTTGCTGGGCAACTGTCCCCTCCCTTGAGAAGTCAGTACCTCTTTTTTGTACCAGGGATCAAACTCGGGTCCTTGTGCCTGCAAGCCAGGCAACGGAACCACTGAGTCAAATCTCCGGCCCAGTACCTCTTTGATGTTCTTGCGTCCTGCAACCTGTGTGGTTGATTTAGTCAGATAATTGGGAAAATATGTGTACCTCCTAACTTTCGCATAGACATAGCCCATTAAATCACTGGTGAGAAAAGGGATGTGGGAGGTTACATGGGGGTCAGTCCTGAGAAGTTCAGCTGTGAGCTATGTCCTTGTGTCACGGAGCACCACCAGGGAATGCTAGTGAGTCATGAAGCAAGATTGAAAACTGATTTTCACTCTTTTACTGAAAGAAATGCTTGATTTTTCCCCCAGCACAGTCCAGAAGCGTGAGCTGGTGAACCCTGCTAGCATGAAGCAGGCCCTGATTGCATCCGCCCGGAGGCTGCCTGGTGTCAACATGTTTGAGCAAGGCCATGGCAAGCTGGATCTGCTCAGAGCCTACCAGATCCTCAGCAGCTACAAGCCTCAGGCCAGGTTGGTGTGCGGCCTTCACAGCGGCCTGTCTTCCTCCCTGGGTGTCAGTCTCCTGTGTACCCAGGACCCCCGCTCACACAGCTCCTCTGAGCGCTCAGCTGCTGCTTCTGCCTGGCTGCTGGATAGCTAGAATCCTGTTACCTTTCTGAGAAATTCATAGTTTATTCAACTTTTGAAATAATCCTAGGTTTACAGACATTTTGTAAAAGTAGTTTTCGGTTACCATTTGCCTGGCCAACATCTCATTGGCTTGTCATACAGCTGTTAAAAGTAATTCATCTCCATTGGTACAGTACAGTCCTCAAGGATCTGCAGCCGCTTGCACGTCATATTTTCCCCCTTGTATTTGTCAGCTTTATTGTCACCAAGGCACATTGCCCAGCACTGCAATTTAAAGGAGGAGAGGTTTAATTTGCTCTTGGTCTCAGTCCACGAGACCTCATGGTGGAAGGGTGTGATGGAGGAGAACTGCTTAGTTCGTGGTGTCTGGAAGCAAGCGGGGGGAAAGTACCAGAGGGGGCGGGGCTGAGGCCAGACAGACTCCAAGGCCACATCCCCTGACCCGCCAGACACACCTGGAAGAGTGCTCCCCCAGTCCCCTGTGGAACCCAAAGCCAATCAAATTGAACTTCCCCCCTTAGTGCCACACCCCTGTGTTCCGTTTCTGGCCCAGTGTCTAGGCCTGGAGTTGCATCATGTCATCTTGGTCTCCTCTGACTCTGGCACTTTATCCTTTATTTTCTCTAGTGCCATGGGTTGAACCCAGCCAGAGCCTTTGTACAGAGCTGTATCCCATCCCTCCTTTTAAATATATATATATGTTTTTGTTTTAGACAAGCTAAGTCACTTAAGTCATTAAGTTGCCCAGGCTGGCCTGGGACTTGCAGTTCTGCCCCAGCTGGTTCGTCTGTGGTGTTGTCATTCCTGACCTTGACTCTCAGGGAGAGTACCAGTCACTTATTTTGTAGACTCTTGGTATGAGTTTAGCTGATGTTTTCAAATGAGGTTCTTTTTCACTAAGAACTTTTTTCACCTTTTATTTTAAAAGGATTTTAGCTATATGACAGAGTTTCGCAAGTAGTACCCAAGAACCTGTGACCCTTCACCTCGCTTTCCCTGGTGTTGACTTCTTCCATCACCGCACTAGCAGCCTTGTGACCTGGAGACTGACCGAGTCACACTGAGGACAGAGCTGCAGGCTGGCTTACCCACTGCCCCACACAGGCCCTGTTTCTTCCCTGAGACAACCCATACTGCCCTCAGTTATCCTGTCTCTCTTGTCCCCTCAGGGCAGGGCCTCATTTTTCTTTGTCTTGTTTTAGTGTTATTGTCGCCATTGATGAGGATGATGTGTCTGTCCTGAGCAGGTGCGAAGATAGGCTTCAGTGGCCCAGGGAGGCACTGGTGTCTGTGTGTGGGGGGGGTCCTGTGAGGGCCAGGGGAAGGCAAGGAGGGGAGAGTTTGGGGACTGTGGTATAGCACTGCCACCTGTGAGGAGCAGAGGGAAGCAGGATTGTTGGGGAAGAGCCACGGGCCAAGAATTGAAACTGTCCAGGGGAGGAGTGCTGTGTCGCCCCCTCTGTGCTCGTTCACTGGCCAGGAGCAGGCTGGAGGACCACGGCCCTGGCATCATGGGACAGGATTGTAGCAGGGCTGCGGCATCTCTGGCTGTGTCCTGCAGCACCGGCCGATGGGCACAGCTGCTGCGCTCCTCCCCGGGGCAGCTTCAGTTCTCGCTGGTGACTGCTGCATGCTCTTTAGGACATACTTTGAGATGATCTTGTTTCTCAACAACTTTCACTCGTGATTTTAGCATCCACTGATGGCCTTTGCTTGCTGTGGTTACCACTGGGGAGTTTGACAAGTGCTGGTTTTTGTTTCCCTCATTCTGCATTTATTTAATTTATAATTAGAATTCTGCTGGAAGGAAGAACTGCTCTTTCTCTACTCCTTATTTAATTATTTATATTGGTATGGATATTGATTTATTCTACGAATTATAATCTGTTGGTCTCATTGTTTCATTTGTCACTCAGATTGTCCCAGCAGTGGCTGGTGGGAGCTCCTTCAATAGGCTTCTGTATATTTTTAGCATGTGTATCCATCTTTTTCTGAGCATTTTCTTTCCTGGGCAGTGTAGGACATTTCATCATGTAATTCCACACTCCAGCCTTGGGTTCAGTTCTTCCCTTTAACTGGAGAATGAAACAATATTTAGAAACCAAGATGTGGGCACCAGGTGTGCTTGTAGCTGATGCATGTACACACACGCACACACACACACACACACACACACAAGCACGTGTGTGCATACATCCTCTGTACCTATTTCTGTATCTCCATCTGTATGTAGTTAACTAGAAACACGGTCACGCTTTGCAGCCCACACCATCATACTCGTTCTAGCCTCCCACTCCTGTTTGGCGCTCCTTTCTCCAGCAGGGAGAAGCCTGGCTTTCATCAGCCACAGTGCGTGTGCTGATTTGCACCATACCGCGTTGTTTTAGAATTGCTAACCCATACCTTTGTGAAGAACAGATTTACTAACAGAAGTATATTTGTAAGTAGTCCTTTAATCCTTACCTTATAGAATAAAGGTACACCGTTTTCTAGAGTTACTTAAGTCTTTTTGCTGTTCATTTTTAGTATAGGTGGGCTCATTTTAGTATTTGTATTCCTTCCTGGTTTTCCTCACCTCCTGGTGGATTTCATCCAGCCGTTGAGTGTGTGAGATGTCACCATGGTTGTAGGGTCAGAATTGTACACAAAGGCAGCCACACTGCACCCCACAACCCCTTCCCTTGCTTCCATGCACTGCTTGGAATGTTGGTTTTTGTTTGTGGGAAGCTTCAGTTTGTTTTTTTATTGTTGTTGTTGTTCTTGTTTTATGGGTACTAGGGATTGAGCTTAGGACTTTACGCTTGCAAAGCAGGCAGCAGAACCACTGAGCAAAATCCCTGGCCCCTTCAGTTTGTTTTTTTTAAATGAGCAGGTACACGGAAGGAGTATTGCTGTAGATATTCCTTTGCACTTTGCCTTCTCACTTAATAATGTACTGGTAATCACCCTTTCAGCAAATAGAGAACTCCTCTTTTACAGCCACAGTGAGTGAATGCACTGTTGTTTATTCAGCCCTTTATATGAGTGTTTAGGTTGGTTCTGTATTTTGTAGTCATAAACTATTGTAATGAGTGACCTTATGCCTTCTGTTAGAGGGGTTTCTTCAGGGTAAATCCCTAGAGGAGGCATCGCTGGCCCTAGCTCTGCAGAGACAGCTTGTTGGATTTTGCCAAACCCCCCAGAAGGCTGGTAGCTGTGTCTCAGTCCTCCCGCAGTGTGAGAGTCGGAGGTGGCCTCCCATTTGTTACCTTTACGCCAGTTTTGTGGGTGAGAGATGGTATCTTTGTACTGTTTTAATTTGGAGTTCTCTAGTTTGAGTGAGTGGGCTATCCTGTAAGCTGTCTATTTCTTTTTCTTATTTTTTGGTGGAGTGTTTAGTCCTTCTGTTTTGAACAGTTCTTTGTATATAGTAATCCATGGCCAGTGATACACATTGTAAATCTCTCTCCCAGTTTGTCAGATGTTTTTTGTTTTGGTTTGTTTTTTTGACTTTATGTAAGAGGTTCTTTTGCCTTGTAGTTTTTCTTTTTGTTTTTAAAAATGTTAGTCATTGGTTGTTGCTGCTGCCTCTATTTTGAGTCATTAGCCTTTCTCTGTACTGTGTGAGGTAAAAAGGAAATTTTCCCATCTTTTTTCTGATACTTGTTTGCTTTTTTGAGATCCCCTGATCCATTTGAAGTTTGTTCTAATATATGGTGTGAGGTCTGGATCCAAGTGGCTGCCCATTCATTACAGCTGTGTATTCAAAAGTCCTCAGTGATGTGAAGTGCAGTCTATCATGCTCTGACTTCCTGGCCCCTGGTCTGCCTGTGCGCATGCCCACTCCACACTATGGTGATAGTGAAGGCTTTGCCGTGTGTCTTCATGGCTAACAGTGCCAGTTCCCTGCCACTTTTTTCAGTGTTTTCTTGGCTTTTCTTTTTTTTGTTTGTTCAGTTGTGGGGTGGGGGTGGGGCGGTTGGTACTGGGAATCGAACTCAGGGACTTGTGTTTGCCAGTGCTACATTGCTGAGCTACATCCTGGCCCTCTTGGCTTTTCTTGAACATTTGTTTGTTTTCTTCATGTGGATTTTCCTGTCAACTTAATGCTGAGCAGAGAATATGTTTCCATTTGTTAAAGCCTTCTTTATGTCTGGGTTGACCAATTGCCTGCCTGTAGGTTTTACGGGTTTTTTTTTTTTTTTTTTTTTTTTTTTTTTTT